TCTACAAAATACAGGACAGCTCTATTTGTAGTGTTTACTGATCTTTTCCTTCTATCATGTAAATACTTCTGTAATGACCAATTTCCAGCTACTAATAGAAAATCTTTTCCTGTGGAATGGGCAAAAGTGCTGGCACTCAGTGGCATACTGTCATAAAGGAATTTTGTCATATAGTAAGATAGATGTTACACACCTGTAAAATTAAATAAGGAGTGATGATTTCTGAGCATTTGTTACTTTGTTTAAGTATGAGTTATTTCATTCATGCAAATTTATGTAATATAGTTTTTAATGGCTGTGTCTTACAGCCTACAAGTTTCAGAAAATGTAACAGTCTCATGATCAATATGACCCACTTCTAGCATACCAGTGGTGCTTTTGTTGTTTGTTTGGTTGGTTTTTTGAGACAGGGTTTCTTTGTAGCCCTATGTGGTTTGGAACTTGCTATGTAGACAAGGCTAGCCTCAATCTCAGAGAGAGCTGCCTGCCTCTGCTTCCCTAGTGCTGGGACTAAATGCATGTTCCACTGTGCTTGGCTGGTTTTGTACTTCTTTTGGAATATTTAATCAACAAATAGGGAGGGTTATGTTAGATACCATATTCACATATAAAAATTAAGCTCAGGTAAGTTAAAAATGCATCTGTAAACCCAGCCATAGAGGGTGCAGCAGTGGAGACAGGAGGATCCTTGGGGCTTGTTGGCCAGCCTGCTGCATACACATACTACACGTGCACACCACACAAGCGTGTGCACACACAAACATACACAATCACAAAGTATAGAAGAAAAATAAAATTTTGGGCTGTTGAAATGGCTTAAAGAGTAAAGGCATTTGTCACCAAGTCTGATGACCTGAGTTCTATGCCCAGAACCCATATAGTAAGGAGAGAACTGGCTCCTTCAAGTTGTCCTCTGAGCTCCACAGGTGTGCCATGGTACTTGTACCCCGTTTACTAAATAAATAAATAAATAAATAGTAAATAAATAAATGTAAAAAAATTGTGTATGTATTTTGACAGGGTCTTCCTAGTCCCAGCTCACTTGGAACTCACTATAGACCAGGCTGGCCTCCATCTCACAGAGATCTCCCTTTCTCTGACTCCAGAGGACTTGGATTAAATGTGTGCACCACGACACCTGGCATGTAAAAAACTTTTTGAGGAAAATATTGGAAGAGTGTATGATAAACAAAAGTTAATATCTTTGGGCAGATGAGATGGCTCAGCAGGTAAAAAGGTATTTGCTGTAAGCCTGACGTCATGAATTTGATACTGGAGCCCACATGGTGGAAGGAGAGAACTGACTCCCACAAATTGTCCTCCACCCTTCATTCATGCACATGCCATGTGTGTGTACTACTTACATGTTCACACAAAAATAAATAAAAGTATAATAAAAAATTTAAGTTAGGCCAGGAATTTAAGTGGCTCATGCCTTTAATCCCAGCACTTGGGAGGCAGAGGCAGGTTGCTTTCTGTGAGTTTGAGGCCAACCTGGTATGTATATCAAATTCCAGGCCAGCCAGAGCTACAAAGTAAGATCCTGTCTCCGCCCCCACCACAAAAAAAAAAAAAATTAGTATCTTTAATATTTAAATAAATTCTTAAAATTAGTAAGATATTAAAATGAACAATACAAGAAAATTTACAGTCAAAAAGGCAATTCAAGGCCCAGCATGGTAGCGCACACCTTTAATCCCAGCACTCAGACAGAGGCAGGCGGATCTCTGAGCTCAAGGCCAGCCTGGTCTACACATCGAGAGTTCCAGGCCAGCTGGGGCTACAGGGAAAACCTGAATAGAATGGCAGTTCATTGAAAAAGTACAAAATATAGGGGCTGGAGAGATGGCTCTGTGGTTAAGAGCACTGACTGCTCTTGCAAAGGACCTGGGTTCGAAAATCAGCACGCACATGATGACTAACAACCCTCTGACGCCCTCTTCTGATCTCTGTTGGCCTTGGACGACACAGGTACACTCATGTGCATGGAGGCAATGCACTCATACATATAAAATAAAAATAATAAATTTTTTAAAGTACAAACTGTTTTTTAAAAATTAAAGGCTTGTCAAGGCTGGAGAGATGGTTCAGTGGTTAAGAACACTGGTTGTTCAGTACCCACATGGCAGCTAACAGCTGTCCGTAATGCCAGTTCCAGGGGATCGGATGGCCTCTTCTGTCCTCCCCATGGGTGCAATGACCTACATGCAGGCAATATACTCATGCACATAAAATAAAAATAATAAATAAAATATTTAAAAAATAATAATTAAAAAAAGGATTATCACATTCATTAATTCTGAAATCTTGAAATTTTTAAATTTGTTTTTATTTTATGTGTATTAGTGTTTTGCCTGCATGTATACAAGTGCACCTGTGTCATGCAGTGTCTGCAAAGACCAGAAGAGGGTGTCTGATGCCATGAACTGGAGTTATAGACTTGTTTTTAGCTTTCAAGTGGGTACTGGGAACTGAACCCAGATCATCTGGAAGTGCAGTCAGTGCTCTTAACTGCTAAGCTATCTCTCCAGCCCTAGAAATAATATTTTAAACCTGCTTGTTTTTTTTTTGTTTGGTTTTTGAAACAGGGTCTTGCTATGTACATAGCCCAGGTTGGCCTTGAACTTTCTATCCTCCTGCCTCAGCTCCCAAATGCTGGGTTTACAGGCATGTGCCATTGCATCCAGCTTGATTGACTTTTAACATTTTTTAAAAATTTTATGTGTATGAGTGTTTTGCCTACATGTACGTAAGTGCATCGTGTGCATGCAGTGCCCATGGAGGTCAGAAGAGGGCATCAGATCCCCTGTAACTGGAGTTACAAAAGGTTGTTAGCTTCCATGTGGGTGCTGGGAGCCAAACCCAGGTCCTCTGCAAGAGCAGCCAATATACTTAACCACTGAGCCATCTCTTCAAACCCTTGATTGACTTTTTAAAATAAATGATAACTCCAAGCTGTTGCAGAAAACACAACTTCAATTTTGAGACAGGGTCTCACTGTGTAGCCCTGGCTGGCCTGGAACCCATTAAGTAGGACAAGGCTGGCTTCAGACTCAGAGAGATCCACCTGCTCCTGCTCCCCAGGCACTGAGATTAAAGGTGTGTGCCATCATACCTGACTAGAATGTCAGTTTTTGATGCTGTGTAGATGAATGGAATCTTGAGAACAATTCCTCAAAATTAAGTGCACAACCCTTTGAAGAAATCATTGAGCTTAAATACAAGGATATATTTAGAAAGATGTCCATTTAATGCTATTTATAATCTTCCCAGAGTGAAAGCAACCTAAATGCCTATGAATACTGGAGTGTCTTTGAAAGATGCCTACAACTTAAGAGGGAATCAATAAAAGATTGCCCCCTTAAGATTAAAAAAAAAAATTGCTTATATGTTTTAGAAAAGTCTAGGTTATCTACCAGCAATGGTTATTTTAGTGAAGTGGGATTATAGTTTTCTATACCTTTATTATGAAGAGTAAACTGCTGAACGTTATACTACTCATAAGTGGTAAAATATGGCTTTTTAAATTATTATTATTATTTTTTTATATGTATGAGTGTATCACCTGCATGTATGTGAGTGCACTGTGTTGTGCCATGCCGCAGAGGTCAGAAGAGGGCTTCGGATTCCCCTGGAACTGGAGTTAAGGACAGTTCGTAGCCGCCATGTGGGTGCTGAGAATCTTGTTACTTGATGTGTCCTACAAAACAGTCATGATAATTGCTCTGAAGAAACAACATGCAAAGGACAAGAATCTGTAGAATAGCCTAGATTTTTAGTCAAGACGATGATGGAAGCAAAAGAGAAGCACTAGGAACGGTGCGCAAACAGACATAGGAGTCCTTGCTGAGCTTGTCCACTTCCAGAAATAAGAATCCAAGGCTCGCAGCACTCGGGAGGCAGAGGCAAGTCCATCTTTGAGTTTGAGGCCAGCTTGGTCTACAAACTGAGTTCCAGGCCAGCCAGGACTGTATAGTGAGAGCTCAGTAGGTAAAGGCATGTGCCACCAAATAAATGATCAGGCCTTAAAAATATGTAGGCAGCTGAAGCGGGAGAATCACTGAGAGTTCTAGGCCAGCCTGGACTACAGAGTGAAACCTTGTCTCAAAAAATAAGAAAAAACTGGAATCTGAGTTTGGGGAAATTTCATTTTAGGGATGTTGGGAATTAAATAATCTCTGAATTTTACTTCATTTTTAAGATTACATTTATTTATCAGGGAGATTGGGCACATGCTATTGGTGCACTTGTAGAAGTCAGAGGACAACTTACAGGAGTATTTCCCTTCTTCCATGTGAGCCCTAGTATTGAACTCAGGTTATCAGGCTTGGCAGCAAGCTCCTTTATGGCTGACACATCTCAATAGCCCTAATCCCTGAATTTTAAGACAGAGCACCAGTTCTACTTAGAGGCTACAGGAACTTGGAGTGTTAAAGGTGCTGGTAGAACTAGTTAGTTGTTTTGTTTTGTTTTGTTTTGTTTTGTTTTGTTTTTTTTTTTTTTCTTGGTCTTTTTGAGACAGGGTCTCCCTGTAGCCCCAGCTGTCCTGGAACTCATTATGTAGACCAGGCTGGCCTTGAACTCACAGAGTTCCACCTGCCTCTGCCTCCCGAGTGCTGGGATTAAAGGCATGCGCCACCATGCCCAGTCAGAACCAGTTAGTTTTAATAGACATTGTGAGTGATTCAAATTGTTGAGAGTTGGAGGTTGAAGTACAAGTTTTTCCAGTATTACCACTCTATAATTCTATGAAATACCTTTATTTTTTATTTATATATACATACATAATGTGTTAGTGCAGATGCCACCATGTGTGGATAGAGGTCAGAGGACTACTTACAGGAGCCTGTTCTTTCCTTTCACCATGTGGGTCCTGGGGATTGAATTTGGGTCACCAGGCTTGGCAGCAAGCACCTTTACCTACTGAGCTGTCTCTCTGGCCCTGAAATACCTTTAAAAGGAATATATGATCTTATAATTAGAAGCAGATTTTAAAATTGCATTTTTTTAAACTCTTCGTGAATTTGTGTGTCATCCTTGTACAGGGACCATGCTAATCTCTGTGTTGTTCCAGTTTTAACATATGTGCTGCCAAACCAAGCACTAAAATTGTATTTTTAAGGAATGTAGTTTTTAAAAATTCCAGAGGTGTTCTTTCTGCTGATTTAGTTATGATTACATAGCACTGATGACCAATGTAACATTCAGTATTATTTAATTTCCTAAGTACTACTGATGTGAGAGTCCTAATGAGGGCACATTCTTCTTTAAAAGTAAATATACAATTTCCCGCGCATGCCTTTAATTCCAGCACTCTGGAGGCAGGGGCAAGCGGATCTCTGTGAGTTCAAGGCCAGCCTGATCTACACAGTGAGTTCCAGGACAGCTGGGGCTATAGGGAGACCCTGTCTCAAAAAGATAAAAAACAAACAAAAAAAGTAGATATACAATTTCCTTAGAAGCTTTACTTTGTGATTTTAAGGTAGGAGAGGCTATTTCATTCTAATATACTAGATTAATGGCCTTAATAATGAATGATTCTTGTAGTTTGCTATAGTAAGAGACATACAAACAATTAGTAATGTTGGAGCAGGGTCTCATGTAACCCACACTAGCTTCAACTTGTCATGCAGCCAAGGATGAATGTCCCATCCTCCTGCTTCCACTTAGCTAATGCCAGGATTACAGGCATGCACTACCAAGCCTGGTTTATGTGGTGCTGGGGATCTAACTCGGGGCCTCATTCACGTTAGCCAAGCACTCTACCAACTATGCTACTCCCCAGTTCCTTCAAATTATTATTACCAAATTAATTGTTTTGGAAAATAATGCCATATGTTCAGGGCTGGAGAGATGGCTCAGTGGTTAAGAACACTGGTTGTTCTTGCAGAAGACCCGGGTTTGAATCCCAGCACCCACATTGCAGCTAACAACTATCCGTAACTCCAGTTCCAGGGGCTCTGACTGCCTCTTCTGTCCTCCGCAGGCATTGCATGACATGACACAGGTGCACTTACCTACATGCAGGCAATACACGAATACACATAAAATTAAAAAAATAAAGGAAACTACAAAGAAAATATACATAGGTCATGGAAATTAAAAAAAAAAAAAAACCACCTGCCCAAAAAAATTGTTTCTTAGGTGTTGGAAATTGAACTCAGGGCCTCACACATACTAAGCAAGTACTCTACCACAGAGCTGATTCCGCAGTCCCCAGACCTTATTTTCAAAGCCAGACTTTAAGGTATATGCCTGTAATCCCATGACTAACCAGGGAGGTTGAAGCAGGAGGATTGAAAGTTTGAGGTCAGCCTGGGTTATATAGTATGACTGCCTCAAAAAGTGAAACAACAAAATCTTTATTTTTAAACATGAAAGCAGAATTGTATAATGTTGTAAACATCCTTAAATTTACTGACATGTCCTATGCCTGGATAATGAAGAATTTAGTATTAAAGCCATGTACTACAGTATGAGTCATATAAATTAGGATAGATACCTCTTGCCAAAAGTTATTAAATGAAGGTAACTGATTTTGTCAAGAGGTCACCCTTTTTGTTTGTTATGAGTTTGGTAACTAGAACTGTTTTTCCTCCCAAAATGAGTAGTATATTATTTCAAAGTTTAGTTTGGCATCCAAGAGGCAAAAAATTTAGAACTGAGAATTTTAAATTATTTACTTAATTTATTTTGAAGCAGGGTCTCACTGTGTAAACCACGCAGGCCTTGAACTCAAAGAGCCCCCTGCCTCTACCTCCCAAGTGTTGGAATTAAGGCCACCATGCCCAGCTGGGATTTTTTTATATGTATGTACACTTTTCCTCTGTTCTTTCCTCCCTCACTTCCTCCAAAGATGTTTGTAGAGTCAAACTTGTAGAAGCTTTATTCCTTCATTGTCATAAAAGTTCATTTAGTAACATGTATGGAACATCTTATTTCTCCTAGGACAAACAAGGATTAGCAGAAAGGAATTAGGACAAGATGAGAACCCTGAGAAGGGTGTTTGTGGAAACCAAGAAATCATGTGAAAGAAATGGAGAAGGGCATTCACTTACCTGTTGAAAAACCCTAAGCCTTGAGAAAAGTTTAGGTAAAAAAGTTTATGGAAAGTCCTTCTAATATAACCTGTTTAATCTTCAGCTCTTTAATAGCTGAAATAGCTACAATTTCAGTTAAGCAGTTAAGTGTATGTGCAGATTTGAGATGTTAAAAGCAACTTTCCAAACCTAATTGTATGAGTTTGTAACATTTGATTGATAATTTGGATAATAGCATAGACAGCTTACTAGATTTACAAATGAATAGGAGCCAAGAAAGATGGCTCTAACATGGTAGGTGACATATTCAGAGAGTGGTGGGAATAATAGAAATCCACAGGCAGAAATTTAATGAAGGTGTGTGTGTGTGTGTGTGTGTGTGTGTAGGTAGGTAGGTAGGTAGGTAGGTAGGTAGGTAGGCCTGAATTTAGCATCCTTAGGTTAGCAGACATTTGTTGAAGACCTGTGTACTAAGCTTTGAATACTGAAGGTAGACTGGGAATAAAATTAATATAATGTGCCTGGTATGGTGGCACATGCCTTTAGTCCCAACATTCAGGAAGCAGAGGCAGGTGGATCTCTGTGAGTTCGAGGCCAGCCTGGTCTACGTAGTGAGTTCCAGGCCAGCTGGGGTTACAGGGAGACCCTGTCTCAAAAAAGACAAAAAATAGTAAATAAATAAAATTAATATAATGTTGTGCTGGGAAGGCAGGCATGAAACAAGTTTTTAAGTTCAAGCTCTTGAGAGAGTCTGTAGAGATTCATGTTCTGCTACTCACTGGTATGATTTTAGGCAAATTACTTTACAGCATTGTGCCTCAGTTTCCTCTCTTCTATAAAACAGAGACTGTAATGGTATTTATCTCAAATTTGGTGAAAATTAAATGTGACAATGACAGTGTCTTATCTATAGTCAACATTCAAGGGATATTAACGATTTTTATTATTACCCATTAGTACTTGTCATCTTAGTTTTATGGAGAAAAATGGAGTGATTGTGGTACCTAGTCTAATGGGTACAGCCAATGAGGCTTTCCTGGCACAGTCTCTACCTAGAAGAAACATAAGTACTTGCACATTTGTAAATAAATTGAAGTTTAGGTATACGTACAGGGCTGAGGGTGTAACCCAATGGCCGAACACATGCCCAGCATGTGCAAGGCACACAAGAGAAAAAATATAGATATCCATAGAGTGCCTGTTGTGGAAGATATAGATGGGAAACCCAGGGTTTCAGTGTGTACAATTCTAAAGGGTCACTTTTTACAGCATTATGCTGTGAATTGGTATCTTGGCAGTTATATAGTGAATTTTTTTAATTAGGCTTGATTAGGGGACTGACCTCTCAGTGAGATTTTGATGACAAAAGGGTACAGGCACATCTAGCCTTTTGACATTGTAACATCATGTTATGTACAAAGCTCACTAGAGAGCTGAGTAATTGGAGTTTTTTTTTTTTATTACAAAAAAATTCTCATAATGTTTTAAGTATATTTGCAATTTTGTATTGGGCTATATTCATAGCTAACCTGGGCACATGTGGCCCACAGGCCCCAGGCTGAACACACCTGGATGATTCAGGGAAGGATGCCTCAAGGATAGAGAATTTCATGTACAAAGTCATGGCTATAAGAGGTCATATGTTTGGAGACCTGGAATTACTTCATAATGGCCAGAGTATAGGATAAAGGAGCGATTGCTAAGAAGTGAGAACAAGAGGTTAGGTTATGAAGGACCTTCAGATTTTATCAGAATGTAGGAAGCTCTTAAATAGATTTAAACAGATGATTAAAGTGATCAGATTTCTTTTAAAAGGTGGCTCAAGGAGAATGATTTGGACCAGTAGCAGATCTGGAAAACTGGGAAAATGCAGCTGTAGCAGTCTAGGTCAGCGTTAACTCCTATTGTGGATGCAGACTTTATTTTAGATTGGCAGTGATAAATTCATCTCCAAACATACAGGTGTTTTTATGGTAATTTGACATGGTTCCTAGTTTATAATCTTGGCTGGACCCTTGGAGTTCTTTAGCAAAGTCTTGGCACTTATGTCAAGGCATTTCTTTCTTTCTTTGTCTTTTTAAGACAGGGGGTCTCTGTAGCCCCAGCTCACCTGGAACTTGCTACTATGTAGACCAGGCTGGCCTCCCAACTCACAGAGATCCACCTGCCTCTGCCTCCAAAGTGCTGGGATTAAAGGCGTGCATCACCACACCTGGCTGTATCAAGGTATGTCTTCCTGGCTGCTCTCTCAGTTATTTCATCCTCTGCTGCTCTTAATCAAGATTCTGTTCTACCTTTTTCCTCACTATCTGCAGGGAACTTCATCTGCTATTTTATAGAGAAAATAAAGCCAAAAAGATGCAAGAAGTGGCTAATTCCTCTTCCACCCTCAGACACATTTATATCAGCATACTTAGCATTCCTTTACTTCTGTGTGGATTTTATTCTAGTTTTTTCCCTAAGTGGCTTTGGGCTCATCTTTTGCTCCTCAGTTTTCAACCTCTTCCTCTTCCCCAGTTTTCAATTTGGCCTCTAGCCTCAGAAGCTCAAGGCTTACCTCTCAATTCAACTCTCATCTTCATCTAGAGTACCAACCTGACTTCTTTCTTTCCCTTCACTGCCACATTCCTTGAAAGAGTAGCAACATCCTCAGCCCTTTGTGTATGTTATCATTGGAATTTATTTTCAGATATTCAAGTACTGTGCCAGGTATGCCTCCTTGGCCTCACACACTGGACTACAGTAATTTCTACACATGCTGTACAGTTCAGACTTCTCTAGCAAATGGCTAGTGACTTGTTACCTAGCAGTGAAGTACTTGATCCCGTTGGCACATTTTGGTTCTTATGACCTATATTCTGAGCAGCTTGTTTGTTTCCATTTCATTTGTATATTGTAACATGAAACCTCTTCACAGACTTTTGAGTTATTTCTAGTTTTGGCTTTTACAAATAGAGCAGAATGAACATTCACATTCATTTATACATCTTATATGAACATTGACTTTAATTTCTCTTGGGTTAATGTTCAAGAGTATAATGGCTGGGTCATGTTGAGGTTTATA